TTCGAATTCTACTCACATTTGAATATTCAAGTATCCAAATTTTACGAATTTTCATTTGATTGGTATTTGAATATTACAATATATGTTAAACCCGAGCTACTAATATTCGAATCTAATACTGATGCCCGAATATTTGAATTTCTAATTCCAATATTTCAATTTGAAATTCGAATTTTACCAGCGCTCGAATATGCGAATTGCATCCATAATAAACTAGTTCTACCGGCATTCATAAAGATAACCGATAAATTCTCCTTCAATCACACTCATCGCACACATTGAATCTATCAAATAAAATGAATCATCAAATACTATCGCTAAATGTTCCTCATACTTTTATCACTGCACCATTTCGTGAAAATATCGTAATTTTACAAAATTTTACCTTTTTGTCTCCATAACTATAATTGTTTAAAATACCACGAAAGTGAATCCAGTTTCCAAAATGGGGGAACCGATAAGACTTCCACGAAAAGGGACCTGGTTTTTCCTTCAGGCGTTACAGCGAAACCGATTTGTAAGGAAAAAGCAAAAGCATGCTTGGAACGTGTATACAGAGTGACAGGGAACAGAAATAAAATAAACTTGAAGCTTCCTGAAGATAGCGCTAGTCACCATGCGATATGACTTTAAAACCACGTGTGGTTCTACTAAAGTGCAAAACGAAGCAATGTATTCCGAGTTGTGTTTAAAAAAAAAGAGGAAGGAAAAAAGAAAACGTGTGTTTGCGGTAGTATATACGTCTCACGGTCATCGTATCGTAAGCGTACGCAACTGAATATTATTATGTTTATCTCGCTCGATAAGCTGCATGTACGAGATCGCACAAATCGATTAAAAATAATTGACTGTTCAATTGAGGGAGTTCGATATAACCGAGAGTGTACTAATATATTTGTAAACAATGAATATCTCTCGTTCAATCGGTTAACTGTTGTGTCTCGTAGAACTAAAACAAAGGACATTGGACAAAGAACTTGAACAACGAACTGCTCTGAATTGTTAATTACCTGTTAGTACGAACACCGGAGCTCATTATTTTATTTCCATTTACACCAATAAACTCGTTATTTTATTTCCACTTACAATGATAATAGGTTTCGTGACGTACCGCAATGACGAACATCGTGAGCTTTACCGGGGAAAATTATGATCATAAGACGAATGCGTCATTGGCTGATATTTCGAGTAGGCAATTTTCATATTTAGGAACCTCGAAATTTAGGAACTAGAATTTTAAGAATTCGGAAATCTGGAAATTTGTCAATTTGGGGAATTTGTGAAATTTTTATTTTACGTGTTTGGAAATTTGTGGGTTCAAGAAATTTGGTGAACTTTTACAGTCTGGGGAGTTTGGGGAATTTCAAGAATCTGAGGAATTTATGAGTTTAAGTATCTTTGAGGGATTTCTGAAAACTAAGGAATCTGGGGAATTGGGAAATTCTGAACAATCTGGATAATTTGTTGGTTATGAACGATCTAGGGAATTTTTGAAATCTACAGAATTTATGAAATTTAGGGAATTTATAAAATCTGGGTAATTTGGAAAATTTGAGCAATTAGAAAAATTTCATGAATTTTTACAAACTAGAAAATTTGAGGAATTTAGAGAATTTAGAGAATTTGAGGAATTCGAGAATTTTGGGAATTTCTAGGAAATTTGGGAAATCTGAACAATCTGTAAAATTTAATAAATTTTGAAAATCTAGCGAATTTGGGGAATCTAGAGAATTTGAGAATTTAGGGAATTTTTGGGATCCGGGGAATTTCGAAAATCTGTACAGTGCAAAATTTGAAAAATGTTAACAATTTAGGGAATTCGGAGAATCTAGAGAACTTAGAGAATTGGGGGAATTTGAGGATTTGACAAATTTCTCGAACCTGGAGAATATGGGAATTTGGGAAATCTGAATAATTTGGGGAATTTAGAAAATTTGGGAATTTAGGGATTTTTAGGAATCTAAGAAATTTGAGGAATAGAAAGAACCTGAAAATCTAAAATTTCGAAATAGAGAAATTTGAAATTTTAACTTGAAAACTTGGAGGTTTGAAAATTTAGTTACTTTGAAATTTCATTGTTTGAGAATTTAAGAATATGGAGACTTGTAAATTGTGAATTTGAGAAATTAGGAATTTAGAAAATTTGATTGTCGGCAGTTATAAAAATCTATTTTGTATATTTTAAAGATTGGATAATTCTATAATTTGAAGATTTGAAAATTGGCAATTATTTTAACTCACAAATCTGCAGATTTGATAATGTGTGTTCAGTGACGTAATAAAATGGCGACTCAGTAATTTGAAGATTTGTACATTTAACAGTACATGGAAATCCATTGATTTCAAAACATACAAATTAGGAAACGCAATAATAACTATAGCATTCAAAAACTTGAAAGTTTCTAAATTTGCAAACTCGTAGATTTGTAATTTTAGTAACTCAGGAATTTACGAATTTAGTTCCACAAAAATTTACAATTTGAAAACTGTCAAGTTCACATACCTGATCTCTCAAAATCCAAAGCAAACGCTGACGATCGCTACACTAATTCAAATCGTACTGACATACACATTACACTCGCGAATGCATTAAAAAAGTGCTACTTCCGTTAAACCAGAAATTGAAATATAAATCGGCGATCCGATTAAATACGCGATCGAAGTGTAAAGGTAAGCAAGAACGCGCGAAGAAGTGCGTTGCACTTTCAGCAGGGATAAACAAAGGAACAGAAAGCGTGATCAGGCAACGCGGTCGAGTATAGTCATAGATTTACGTACCTTTCGGAGAAACGAAAACGTGGAAAGTTACAGATAATGAAGAAGCTTCTTCACACCGATAGAATTCCTCGTCAGGTGGACCGGATCAACTTTCACGATTGACAGGAAATTTCGTGCTGCTCCGTTTCGCGTTTATTTTCTCCCGCGATTCTTCCGTCCTCGATATCCGAACGGACGCGCACAATTTTCGAGGAATCCCGCTTGTTCGAATTTCGAAATTCGAAACGCGCCAATTCTCGCGGCACGAGGGCGAGAAGGAGAAAGAAAAGATCGAATGAGGAAGCATCGACGCCTGTTGTGGCACGACAAAACGCTCCCTCAGCGAGCTGTTAGATAACTGACCAGCCGTATCGCGTCTATTGGCCGCCGCGCCGTTGAAACCGCGACACCTGGCGCCATCAACGTCGAAACACTACTAACTCCGAATCTCTAGAAACAATGCTTGTCTTTCAAAACCGAGGCGATCGGAAATCGATCTATCTCTTTACTGTTTCACTGCCTTTTATAACGTTGCTGGAATCCCAACGTTATCCGTTTTCTAAATGTCAAATTTGAAAATCACCAAGTACTCAAAATTCTAAATTTAAATTGCGAAGTTATGAAATTTCTGAACCTTCAAAATTTTCAGTTTTCAAAATCATATATTCATAAATTTTCGAATTATCAAATACCCAAATTTCCAAATTCTCAAATTTTCAACTTTCAAATTTTCAAATTACCAAATTTCCAAAAATTCCCAATTTCCAAAATTCCTAATTTCCAAAGTTCCAAATTTCCAAATTTTCAAATTACCAAATTTCCAAAAATTCCCAATTTCCAAAATTCCTAATTTCCAAAGTTCCAAATTTCCAAAATTCCAAAATTCCAAAATTCCAAATTACCAAAATTCCAAATTTCCAAATTTCCAAATTTCCAAAATGTTTCCAAAATTCAAAAATTCAAAAATTCAAAAATTCAAAAATTCCAAATTCCAAAATTCCAAATTCCAAATTTCCAAAATTCCAAATTTCCAAAATTCCAAATTTTCAAAATTTCAAATTTCAAAAATTCAAAATTCCAAAAACTCAAATTTTCAACTTAAAAATCACCAAATTCCAAATCTTCAAATCCTCAAATCCCTGAATTTCCAAAAATCTAAATTCCAAATTTAAAAATTCGCAAGTCCCTAAATTTCCAAAAGTCTAACTCCCAAATTCTCAAATTTTTCAATTTTTCAACGCTCAAATTTATAAATATCCAATTTTTTAATTTTTGGAAAAATATTGCAATCATCAGAATTTCGTATTTTATAAAAATAAAAAAAGAGCTATTTTCATCCTCAATTCCCGTTTGCCAAAAGGAAAACTTTACATTATAACAATAGATCCAAACAAGAAAGAAATAATGTAATAATATTCGTAAAGGATATAATAGTATTTTGTAGCGTTGTAATATTCATTATACTAGCTGAAATACAGGAGAATAATATGAGATGTATCTTTTGAAAATTACCAGTTTTCGTACTACATTTTGCAGAATAAAAGATACTACATAACGATGACATAAGTTTGCACTTTGCTTCCCAACGAAATATGTTACGAAGTGTTATATAACTACACAGGTACCGAGCTCTAGCGTGAGAATTAAGTTGTCTCTAAAGTAATCTTGCAAGTTATCTTCCCAAACAACGAGAAGTTCTTGGTGCAAAACAGAATTGAATCTTAAGTATGAAAAATTAATTTGAGAGGATAAATAGTATTACTTCGTACCGTACATATTATAGTAAAATTATGAAGTTTTGTAATTTGAATATTGAAAGGAGAGGAATTAAAATATTGCACAAAAATGTGAACAGTCAATTATACAGTAACAATACATGAGCAGAAGTCATTAATTTTACATTTATCATCCTGTAATGACAAGTAGAAACACGTTCATACTCTTTTATCAATTTATTTAAAAGACAAAATGTATCAAAGTAAAAAGTTTCATTTAGAGAAATAATGATGACCTTGAAATGTTTTAAATACTTGCACTTCCGGAATAAGTACATTCGGATGCATATTTTAATTTTGTCCAATAAAACTTTTACTGACATTGTAACGTTATAACTTATCTCTATTTGGTAAGATCTTTTGTACATTCCATTTACATTGCAATTTTATTCATTTTGAAATGCATTTCATTAATTACGACGATATGATGATATATCACAAATGAATTGATCAGATCAAAATTTAAAAGAGCGGAATAACTTGTATGACATCCTGCAGATGTCGACACCAATGTCTGTTGTCTTTAACGAAATAATCAAGAAACAGTAAATGACGTTCGAGGATTGAATCCGAGAGGAAATTTATTTAAAATTTGTGTAGACAGTAAAGATATTAATAGTTGTTTTTGTAACTTATCAATATTGTTACTAACTTTTCCGCCTATCCTTTGCGGCTCAATATCACGCGACGGTATATGTATACATACCATAGTAACACAGCGATGCAATACGATCATGCGAAGACGGTTATCATTTTCATTTATTTCGCACCTGATCCCACAATGATGAACGATGATTGTACAGTTTAGTGAAATGATGTTTATACAGACAAATGAATTAAGGCCCGATTCGTGCTATTGATTCAAAGGTTCAAAGATATCATTCTGGCTTGTTGGAAAGCCAAACAGCTGAAATGGAGTCGGCGGGACAGAATCAGGTGCAGAATGCTTTCAATAATACTGATGGGACTGAAAACAAAGGAAGGTAAGACCGTCTGTTATTTAAAATTATTTAATTTGTCTGTTTCTTCAATGTAATTTATGTATCACAAAATGGGGTGAATAGGAATAAAACTTCAGATAAAAGTAAATTCATTACAAATTTTTTAGTAGATAGCATCTCTATTTATATTTTTAAGATACTGTAAGGTCACTGTAAAAAATATAAGTCATTATTTAATTATTATTATAATCAGTGTGCAAATGGATGACAATGAAACAGCATTAACTGTTTATACTTGTACTTTATAAACTTAGTGTAGATGATCTATTTTCCTTGTGTCATAGTAGTTAGTGATCATTTTTGCAAGCAGACAAATACCTTTAACCAAATTGCCTATAATTTACTTCATAATGAACTGTAGGATGTATAGAAACATAAACACACTAGAATTAATATATTCTTAACCCTTTAACAAATTTATTTTCTTCTAGTTGTTTGTTACTCCGATATGCTAGTCAAAATTCATTGGATGAAAGTTCACAAAAGCATATACCACGTGAAAGTGGACGAGACAAACCACCATATAGGAATCATCATCATACAAATCGGGCTTTTGATGTTATCAATGAAATGCGAAAGTATGTAAACTGTTGCTCATTGAAATCTTTACTTACACTTCAAAATTATATAGATATAATATACATCCAAAACTGAGAAAATATTTCTGTAGTCTCATTTTGGATTATTCAAAAAAATAATATTAAAAATATAGTGTAATACAATGTGATTATTTTGCAGAAAAAATTTATTATGTGATGTGATTCTGGTGGCTGATGGAGGATTGGAAGTACCTGCGCATAAAATGGTTCTTGCTGCATGCAGTCCTTATTTTTATGCTATGTTTACAAGTTTCGAAGAGCGAGATCAAGAAAGAATAACTCTGCAAGGTGTGGATTACTCAGCGCTTGAGTTATTGGTGGATTATGTATATTCCGCAGAAGTGCATGTAACTGAAGACAACGTGCAAGTGTTATTACCAGCTGCTAATCTTTTGCAATTAACTGATGTTCGTGATGCCTGTTGTGACTTCTTACAAGCTCAATTGCATCCATCAAATTGCTTAGGAATTCGTGCATTTGCAGATCTTCATGGTTGTCTAGAATTACTGTCACATGCAGACAGTTATATCGAACAACATTTCTCGTAAGATGCAATATTTTTGTTTTATTCATTCAACTTAACTGATATATGTCGTGTTTTAATAGTAAACATTTTGTTCTATAAACAGGGAGGTAGTGGATGGTGAAGAGTTTTTAACATTGGCACCTCAACAAGTTGCTAAATTGATTTGCAGTGATCGTTTAATGGTACCATCAGAAGAAAAAGTGTTTGAATGCGTGATATCATGGGTACATCATGATTTGGAAAAAAGACAAGCTCATTTAGCTCAATTAATGGAACATGTACGTTTACCTTTGTTATCCCAAGAATACTTAGTACAACGTGTGGAAGAAGAACCACTACTTAAAGCAAATTTACAATGTAAATGATATATCTTTGTACATAAAACATGTATATTGTTATACCTTGATGCAATACAATTAAAAAAAGCACGCTATTTTATTTTACACAGGTAAGGATTTCTTAATCGAAGCTTTGAAATATCATTTACTTAAAGGAGAACAAAAGTCGTTATTTAAAACGCCTCGCACAAAACCCAGACAACCAAGGGGTTTACCAAAGGTATTATTAGTAGTTGGTGGACAAGCTCCAAAAGCAATCAGAAGCGTTGAATGTTATGATTTTAAGGAAGAAAAATGGTATCAGGTATCTGAATTGCCTACACGTCGTTGTAGAGCTGGTGAGTAGTATTTAACAATCCAACTATTATAGTACGTTATATTGTCTTCTATATCATGAGATTCATAATGTACAGGTTTATCCGTCCTTGGTGGTCGCGTTTATGCTGTTGGTGGATTTAATGGATCGCTTAGAGTACGAACAGTTGACATTTACGACGCAGCTACAGACCAGTGGTCACCCTGTCCAGAAATGGAAGCGAGGAGATCAACCCTTGGTGTAGCGGTCCTTGGGAATTGCATTTACGCTGTACTTAGTTTCATTTGTTCATTTCACACGTGTATATGTTGTATTATAAGTATGATTATAATTAACACTAATCCACATAACGTATACATGTGTGCTCATAAGTACTTACCATTTTACTACTCCACATGTACATAGTTTCTTTAAGTCTTTACAAACATTCGTGTATTATAAGTTACATGTATTGATACAACAGGTTGGCGGTTTTGATGGTTCGACGGGTCTAAATTCCGCGGAGGTATACGATCCGAGAACTCACGAATGGCGATTAATCGCACCGATGTCAACGCGTAGAAGTAGTGTCGGTGTGGGTGTTGTTAAAGGATTACTATATGCTGTAAGTTTAATAACGGAACTTATAAAATTTTTAATAATGCATTTTGTTCTATAATCTAAAGTTGTTGCTCTTCAGGTTGGCGGTTATGATGGAGCATCCAGACAGTGTCTTTCTAGCGTTGAATGCTACAATCCAGAAAAAGATCAGTGGAAGCCGGTGCCTGATATGTCTGCACGTCGCAGCGGAGCTGGTGTCGGTGTTTTAGACGGAATCTTATATGCTGTAGGAGGACACGATGGTCCTTTGGTTAGGAAGAGCGTAGAAGCCTTTAATCCAGATACTAATCAGTGGACTCCAGTTAGTGATATGGCCCTTTGCCGTAGAAATGCAGGTATGAACTTTAATTTTTTATCATGTTGACAGTTATGTAAATTAGACTTTCATTAGTTTAAACGAACTCTTAACCTTATTCCGCAGGTGTGGTAGCGCTCAATGGTCTTTTATACGTGGTGGGTGGGGACGACGGTTCATCGAGTCTAGCGTCTGTAGAAGTATACTCCCCAAGAACCGACAGTTGGTCGACTCTTCCAACTTGCATGGGTATCGGCCGCAGTTACGCCGGAGTAGCAATAATCGACAAACCGATGCCGTCCACGACATCGATGTGAGGGTTACAATCCGCTGGGCATACAATGGAGCAGAACTCGGACCCGGGTACCGAAATGTCGGATCAATCACGGGAAGCCGGGCCCAGCGGTGTGCAAATTCAGAATGCGGATCAAAATGTACTTCATCAATACCCGGGTCATAATTGTCGCGGTCCACGTTGTGTATGCCAAAGATACGAGAATGGCGAGGTGGCGGCTGCGATCATGAATCAAAACAGAAATAACCAGGACGACAACTATCAGAATACGAGTCGTGCTTCGCGCAACTTCCAAAATCGACCCGGCGGTCCAGCGCAGATGCATTCGAATCACAACCCGAGTTACCAGAATCCGGTAGAATTGATGCACAACTACAACCGCAATCGGCAACCGCAAGAACCAGAAGAAAACATTTACGAGAGACTGGACAACGACGACGACGACGAGAACGATGAGAACAACGGTGAAGTTGTTGAACCTGCGGCCCAAAACAACCACCACAACGTAGACGATCACACGTACGAAAGAATAGATGATCGCTATTCCTGCAGTGGTAGAACATACGCTCGTTGTTACAAATACCACGTTCTAAACCCATACGCGGTCCCTCACTTCCTAAATGACATTGAATCTAGAAACCAATACGATCAGTCCAGACAATTGTACCTAGATTCATCGCGACTTTCCAGTCAGTTTTGCCAGAATCGACTAGGCAGACTGGGTCGTAATTGTTTTTCTACCGAAAACATCGCTTATGCATCGACTGGACGTGCCATTTACCCTCTCGGTTACAATTTTATGCGTTTGTTCTGTAGACACTTAGATGCAAGGTACTTGTGCCACCACTGTCATAATCTGCACAATCGATTACGCTACCCAGATGGACTCGCAAGCAATTCTAGACAATATATATACCAGTTGCCAAGAAAGGTACCCATTTGCCGTGGAGAGTACTCGTACGTAAAGCTGCCCGTTACATCCTGTCGTCCAACAGAATCACTGAGAATGGAATGTCTTTGCAGAATTCCTAATTGCTCATGTAGATGTAAAGTTTTACCCAACTGCAATTCTACGGTGCAGATCAACAGGTATCTCGACTGCGTTGGCAGAGGTGGACCGTCGGTCAACAACCCGATGTACGCAACAGTTCACATTGGCAGACCTTGCGTTTCGACTGTGGGTAACACAGCGGGTGCAGGGAATGCATCCACCAGTGCGGACTCTGGAGCTTCTACGTCCAGTGCGCCTGCACCCACATCCACCAATGAACCAAGCACGTCGTCAAATGCCAGACAAGTATTTCCTTCGAACAATCCTTCCACTTCGCAGGACTCTGCGTGTTCTTCTAACCGTTTGATGGAACGTCAACACACCTGCGATGATTCCTGTATCAGAAATCAGAGTGGCAACGTTGCTGGCATTTGTCAGTTCCTTGGCAGATGCGACAGAGCGGAATGTAACCACAGCAGGTTATCTGTTCATTGGTGGCTGGTCAACAGATGGTTGCCGCCTTGGAATCCTCCTAACTTTGATAGAAACATAGACGGTGTTCCATCTATGGAAGAAAGTGATAGCGATGATACTTAAATATCGATTCGCTTTCCCATATTTTTGACAAACGAAATTTCTATGTTTTCATGTGATTATTCGGCATTAATTTGTTACAAGTATTTAGATGATATGGTATTTCTAGACTGCTGAAATAACTCGCAGGACTCAGTATTAGTGTTCCTGTATTTTCAATAAAAAAGGATCATAATAAAACTTATGATTTGTGATATTTAATACAAATAATTCATCGAACGAAGTGTTCGGTTTGCTATCAGTATCCTAATTTATTAAGGAATCAGTTGAATTTTATCGATAACAAAATTTTATTTGAAAGTTAATATTTAAAAACAGTTTATGCATGTATTGACAATAAGCTTTATCTATTAATCCGATATTTTAAGATGCTCATACGTTACAAGTACAATGCTTCAAATTATTATATGTAAAAATGGTTGATTTCATCGTACATGAACATAGGAACCGTTTGAGTTAACTAATTTCTATTTTTTTATAGCAGTTTTTAATTGTTCTTGAACTCATAAATTTAAACGCGTTATAAAATATGTGTACAAGGTGTTACAAAAAAGGTGGACGTCATAAGCAGATATTTAATACCAGAAGTGAACAAAAACTTTTATTACTTTGCATTTTTGTAAAGGTGGCAATATAACGAGAGTCTACTGTATCCTGTAGAATAATTATAAGAGTTGTGTGTTCTATCACATATACATATACGTAAGGATGTAAGAGTCAATTTCATATATGTACCTTTTTCGGGCATCATTGCTGAGCCAAAGAGAGAGTGCTTTTATCATATTTTTATAATTTTAGTAATAAAGATAACTTGACGATAAAACAAAAAAAAGAGGAAATGGACAAAGATGCGTTCTTTCGGAAACTAGTTGCATAAAAAACGAGATTAAGGATATTGTTTGTAAATTTTAGAGATCGTTTTAAATTTAGTGCTTCGAATTATTGTGAAACAGAATGTTACGATGTAATAATGTCTTGTTTAAACATAATGATTACTGTAAATACAAACTTGTATCGTTATATTAGTATTTGTAAGCAATAACTTCGAAGAATTTGTAGCGTTTCTTCATAAACATGTGATTTATGTTTCGAAAAACGAACAAGTATACATATTACAAAATGTCATGTAACTGGTAGTTGAATATGAAAAAAAAAGTTGAATCCACATGAAAAAATAAGACGAAAATAAAGAAAAGTTTTTTTATACTTGATTTCGTTTCTGAACAAAACTTTTATCCCTCTGACCTGAATGCTAATCGTTCGTCAAAATTTTGCTTCGTCATTTTTGAAATATTTGCACTGTGATTTTTGCTGTTATTTTAAAAATAGGTACTCGTTATGTGAATACTTATCCTTCGTAAATGGGCTTTGAGAAAATGGCGAACTTTTCAAATTGGGGTGAGTTTTTTGGGATTTGATTTTTCGGTTTTTTACTCAAATTTTGAAGTAAATTATTTCAAGTACGCACAGTAAATAATTAAATTGTAAGAGGGTGTTTTGAGTTTGTATTTATTCGAACATATTTAAGATTAAAATTAAGATCATCCCTTAGTGAAGTGATTAGCACGACACGAAAAAATATTCAAGCGCCTAATTAATAATAATCATGACTTTTATAATATAGAAATATAATGAAACATAATAAATTTGCCAAATGTATATTTATTTTTTATATTCACTAATACTTATATACCACAAATGTTTCGTTGAATAAACTGCACAAAAATTTTTGTCTTCCTAAATAATTATAAGGGTTATAATAAACTTTGTTTAACAGTTTGTATTAATTAAAAATTTTGTATGAATATTTATGAATTTTTAATGTCACTTAAACCTGTCTATTAACCTAACTATGGTTAATTTTTATTTTACCAAAGACACAATTGTAACAATAGAAATTACATACGTACTTTGTAATTATGAATTGATTGCGTTAATAATTAGTATAATTATTTTTGTTACATGTAAATTACTCAGACATGGGGTGTGATCGTCTCATATAATAAAATAACAGTTAATTGAATTCAGTTGAATTTAATTCATGCAGATATTTATTGTGAAATATAGTTATCCATTTTCGTCAGATTTTCCTATAAATATCATATAATGATAGATGGATTATAGAACGTATCTCTAGTTTCTTAAAATAACAATTATCTTCAAGCAGTTTTGATTGCAGCCGCTACCATGTTGGTATTATGACTAAAATATGTAAATTAATGGAAGGAGGTATTATGTTGATATGAGACCCTAATACAACATATTCCGGAACGCTTTTGCAAGAGTAAACGTTTCTACGATCGATATCCACCTAGCCAGTTTAAGAAAAGTTGATCACTCCCCCATGATCGAAGGCTAACTGCTATCACTTTGGTGTTACAATGGTATCCTAATATCAACGCATTGTTTCAGGGGCGGATCCAGAAGACTTCCTTAAAGGAGAGCGAAATTCAAACAAGTAACATTTTCAAAATATTACATCTACAATTCTTATCATCATAATTGAACATGAATTATTTTAGACGAAATTTATAATAAATAATTTAGAAGTCTAACTTAATTGAGCAATTTAGAAATCTAAATTATTTATTCATTGTAAATAAAAAAATACAGTCATCAAGTTACGTCGACAATTGTTATCATCATAATGGAACATGAATTATTTTAGAAGAAATTTAGAATAAATATTTTAGAAGTCTAAATTATTTATTCACTATAAAAAAGAATATAGTCATTGTATATACACGTACCATTAAGTAATTTATTTTATTAGGAAGGATCAAAGAAACGATACGAATAAAATTGAATAACAATTTTAGATATTTCAATATAACTGAATTTTTTCAATTTTGGTTTCAATTTTAAGGAGCCAATTATCTAAATCTCCTCCTCTAAATCCGCCCCTGTGTTATCACCAACACAATCACTGAATCGGTATACTTTATTCTACTACGCAATCAATTTTTTACCCTTTCACACTAATTATCTTCTTTTTTACTGTTGCTGCTTTGTGGAATGACATTTTTATCGACAAATCTAGTGCGAAAGCAATTGATACATCAAATCAATGCAGTTTCATTGTTTAATTTTGGAGCGAATGAAAAAGTCTGAAGATTGCAAAAAATTTCAATGGGTACATAAATAAAAGTCAGTTTTGTTGAAGTGCTAGGTTTATATTTATACATTTATAAATTTGCTAATTTGTAACTTTAAAAATATGTATTCGATCATTTTTTATTTTAGATAAAATTTAATAAGTGAACAAGATAATATTTAGTAGAAATATCTAAACGTGAAAAATTTAAGAATCCACGTATACGAAAATTGACATAATTTGAGAATCTATGAAGACAAAAATTTGTGATCTTCAAAATATGAAAATTTACCTATCTCAAGTTGCAAAATTTAAAAACTCAAGATTTCCCTTTCTAAACTTCAGAATACCTACAAATAAATTTAAG